AATGCATGTGTACTTACACATGCATTTATGTATAACCAGGTGTATGTACACACATGTACCCATCACATATGCAAGAACACATGCATGTGAATCCATGTATACATATACACCCATGCATACATATACACACATGTTCACACACATGTGCACATGCATACACATGCCCACACAGTACATAAACCCATATACATGTTCAGACATACATGTATTCTCCAATAGTAATACACACATACATATAAACCTACATACAAGCATGCACATAGACATACACTTTCACACTCTAAAACACATGTATCCTCACACATGCACACAGATATGCAAATGCATACACATACACTCACATTCTAGGTGCTACAGTACATTTACAAACACACAAGAAAGCTTTGATCTTCATTAATCTTCTTTATAATAACTAAAAATCTATTTCTATTACTTGCATCAGATAAAATGTTCTTGTCAATATCACTTGTTACACTAAAATTGCTACACTTTATATATGAGTTCTTTAGCAGATCAACATTGAAATTCCCAGATAATCTTCAAAATATCAGAGTTAATAGAGCCAAAGGAAAATAGAATACAGACATACGCTGATAAAAAGTGGCCTGGCTGAATACATTTCAGGACACAGTGTATCTATTGAAATTGCCTTATAAAAGAGATCAGAAAATGCAGTAACAATATTCATGGACAATATTTTGTTGAGATCAATACCAGTTGACTAATATTAATTTACAGATGAGGGGGACAGGGAAGGGTTCGGTCAAGGCCATTTAATCAGTATGGAAAAACTGTTTAAAACTGGAAAACCAAACCTTTATGAGACCTACAGCCTGAGATCTCAGGGTTCAAGTCAGGAAGCTGTTTACTCTGGCTGTGGCTTGGGAAATTTTGAACTCATAGGTTGCTTGCTCTTGCCTACTAAGTCTGCCGTTTTTATTCAGCAGTAGTAATTAGGTACCTGTACAGAGAGAGGAAAAATTTACCCACACTTTGTGTCATTAAATTGTTTTCTTTCCTCTTAAACAAATTATCACAACTCTTTAGGAAGGTCAGCATCTATAGAGAAGTACACCAGCAACTGCTTCATAAAACTTAAAGTTTCCAGATAATAATCCTCAAAAGGCATCTTTACTAATGATGACATTAAAGATGCACTTGTCAGTGTTCAGATGATCTCCTGCTCAGGAAAACCTACAACTCCTCTCAAAGTGAGAAGAGAGGCCATAGCCTCTGAAACTGCAGCAGAGAACTTAGCAAAACAGGAGCAAAGCTCACTCTCACCCCCACACTGGTATAATGAGGTGCTGTATGGTAGTTCACACCTTCGTGGTAGCTGGGATAGCCCCCTGTGTAGCATCAATCTGATATCTGTTGGAAAATTTTGTCACTGTAAACAAATAAATTTCCTCTAAATAATTTGATTGTGAGGTTAAATACATTTTTAACTTGGAATCGATCACTGACATATTACATAGGAGACCTACCTCCCAGATGTTTCCAGCAGCGGGCTGCACATACATCTAGCCTTCTTTTAGAGTTTTATCTCAGTCTGTTTTGCCCATGGAAATCCTTGGCTTGCCAGCTCACACCTGTATTTCTAGAACTCAGGAAACAGAGGCATGTTGGCTCCCACTTAAGCTGAGTTCTTGGGCAGCCTGCATTACAGAAGAAGAGACTGTCTCAAAAAACAAAAACAAAACAAAAAAGCAGGAATATTTAAGATTTCTTGATGGGGGAAGTCCTGTGTATATGTCAATAAAGCACTGTTGGCCAATAGGGAACTAAGATAGGTGGGACTAGGAGTCAAGGAGGACTCTGGGTAGGAGAAACACAGAGAGTCAAGATGTAACACCATGGGGTAGGAAGCCCGGAAACCTCTCTGGTAAGAGAAATACTTTGATTAACAATTATGGGGTAATTACTTAAGTCATAGCTAGCTAGTAAGAAACAAGCAAGGCCAACAGCTTCATAATTAATATAGCCTCCTGTGTGTTTATTTGGGACTGATGCGGCTCTAGAACCAGGCTGGTGGGAAGGCTTCTCACAAGGAAAAGATTTCCCTTTACAATTTCTACAAGTTTGGCAAGGAGGGAATGAATTGAATGCTCAGGAACTACAATTCCTAGCTTTGTTGACATATTACATGAAAAAGAATCCATGTGCAGTTATTCAAAAAGATATAGTGTTTAGCAGGTGATTTTTCACTGCCTCTGGCCTCTCTCTTAAATAACTGGTTTTCTTTTACGTATGCCCTAATTTTGATTTTAGTCATTTAAATGTGCTGTTTGTCTTTCTAGCGCATATCTAAACATTTCTCCAATGAGAACTTTGTTTTGATTTTTGAAGTGTTTATTTGATTATAGACCTTCAACCAATCTCCCAGCCATAGGCATGCCCAGAAAACTCACTACAAATCAGGTCACAGTAAGGCAGAGATTTTAGAATGAGTATACTGTGGCCCGATGATTATAAAGTTGCAGCCATTACTGTTTATTGCTTTGATGGAGTACAAGTAGAGAAGTGCGATTTTTCTTATTAACAATTTTAATTAACTTTTAATTGATCTGTAAGAAGATGAATGGCTCCATTATAGCATTGTGCAGTGAGCTGCTTGAGTAGAGATATTAAGCATCCATGCAAAGTTCTTGACAGTACTATTGATAGTAGGAAGTCTGCAGATAGCTCTCTTGTCTCATACTGACTTCCTCATATGTAACAGTAAAGTAACTGAATCTGCCCCCAGTGCCTGAGTCACAACCTCATTCATCTTGCTCAGTGACTGGAGACAGGGAAGGAAGGAAGGAAACTGCTTTCATGCATATTCTCCCCTTTTGTCACCATTAGCTGCGTGTTTGAGCAACTTTAACATTGTTAGGGTTAATTGCTGCAGAATATACAGTCAAATACACATTCTTTCACCGTGGCTAGCCATGCAGGAAGCTCGGTATTACTAGATGAGACAAAGGTTCTGGTGTCTGTGTAGGTACTTGACATAATCACTACACTTTGACTACTTCCAATAGATTTTAAAGAAGTTAGAGAATGCATTGAAGAGAGTGTGTCAGCTAACGTTTGTTAATAGGCAGATTAAAAGTAAACAACTTCAAAACATATATATGTAATGTAGGATTAAAGTAAAGGTTCTTGAGAGGGTGATAATTTAGCCCTGTTTGTCAAAGTAAGCCTAGAATACCTACACAAGCTTTTAAAGAGGGTCGGAGGGGTGAGGTGGAAGGAGGAGAAGTGATTGAAAACTTGCAAGAAAGACAGGGTAAATGCTAGGACACTTACAGGTGCAGAAAGTGATGGAGCAGGAGGCTGGCAGCTGTCTTCACATTTCTACTTTCACAGGGGTCAGAATCTCAGACTCACTGCTTACACAGCCCAAGTCTGTCAGTAGTTTCCCCCAAAGTATCTGGGACAGAGCAGAGATGGGGCATACCTAGCTTTTGGGATCATGGCCCTACACTGATCTTCTTATCTTCAGAGATTTACATAATGAACATTTGTTTCATGGGGGCTTATAAGTGTATGGTTATCTGTTATTTTGGCAATGGGATAGATACTAGTACAGGCAGTTCCTGTGTGAGAATGGTTGACATAGTAGCTTTGGGCTTCATAATAGTACAGAAGCAACATAACTTAAAATTTGAAACTTCTTTATCATGGTGGCGTTCATTATGCAATGATAGTGTCTAGAGATGTTGGGCAGCGGCAGGGAGCTTCAGTCAGCAAACCTCACAAGAAGAAATAGAGCTGCACAGTGTAGTGGGTTCCTAACCTGTGGGGCTCAGCACATTAATGCATTCAATGTGTTTTGACTCACAATAGTTTTAACTTAAATGGGTTTGTAAGGGTATAGTCTAGTAAGTCAGGTTACATCTGCCTGGATATATACATATATATTTGAATACTGAAAATGAGAACAAAATGAAGTCCTGTCCCCTTCCTTTCTTTAGTGGTAGTTTGAAACATAAGTATACAGTGTTTCACAGCTTCTTAAATAGGTTCAAGAGTTTATGAAAAACAATAGTAGAATCATTTGATTTAAAATGTAGAATATCTGGTGGCATGTGTTTGTAAGTTATAACAAACTAGCTCAATTTTAAATAGCAGTACTCATGTCACCATTCTGTAAAGAAATATAGTCACTCAAAGCTTTTTCATTTTTGGTGCAAAATAACTCTATGTCTGAAATTTTCAGCAATTATAGATTCAGGTATCACCAATAATTCTCAGCTATTATGTGAGGTTCATAAACTAATATTAAACAGTAGCCTTTTCTAATTTGACAATTACTGTACTTTTATTGCACTTCAGTTTGGGAATGTGTTTAATTTCAAACCTCAGTTCCTTATACTCACAGAACATTCATTAACTTCATTAGCATTTATTAAATAGTTTTGCATATGAGATATTGTGCTACATTCTAGGACCCCCCAAGGTATTTAATTCTTGTGTAACTTTACATGAGATGATTAATTTCCTTAAGCCATATGGTCCCATTTGCAAAATGGGGTCAATGATATTTGCTCATTAAAATCATCACAAGTATTAAATGAGGTAAATATGCATCATGCCCAAACATATATAAATATGAAAATGATTATATGAATTTCTTAAACAAAAACAACCATCAAATCTTAAACTGTTAGTAAATTATCTTAAATTGACTCAAACTAAGTTCTGTTTTTGACATTCAAAATCTACCCTAGCAATAAATTTATATGAAACATTCAATTTTTATAATATTCATTTCTCTGACATAATATATTACTGTTTCTAATGATATCAGCTTATGTTCATTTACACTGAGTATTTAATTAAATCATAGCTTATTTCTTTTCTTCATTTTGACTGCAAATTGTACCTTTATTATCTTTCTAAATTTTCCCTTTTGAGGAAAAAATAATATTTGGTGGTTAGAAAACATGGCACAGTTTCTCAGCAGTGAGACTGAAGCTGTTGTACTAAGCCCTTTGTTTTCTTCCATTTAGGCAACAGATCCAGATGCTGGGATAAATGGCCAAGTACACTACAGCCTAGGGAACTTCAACAACCTCTTCCGCATCACCTCCAATGGGAGCATTTACACAGCTGTGAAGCTGAACAGGGAAGTCAGGGACCACTATGAGCTGGTTGTTGTGGCAACAGATGGAGCAGTACACCCTCGGCATTCAACTCTGACACTGTACATCAAGGTGTTAGACATTGATGATAACAGTCCTGTTTTTACCAATTCAACATACACAGTCGTTGTGGAAGAGAATCTGCGAGCTGGGACCACCTTCCTTCAAATAGAGGTGTGTGGACAAGCATTAATTCCAGGAAATCTATATCATAAGATTATCTGGGAGGATAAGCCATTGGAGTTTAGCTACACACACATGATGAGCTCAGAATAACTTAGATTCAGATAGGTCATGGGTAAATCTCATTATGTCTCAAAAATTGCTTATTGTGTTTTAGGTGAAAACCTTCCTCTGGAAGAACCTGCAAAATTAAAAGCAGAAAGTTTGCAATCATGAGAAATGTAATACATTTTATGTGTTTTGGCATGTATAAAAGTAATGCTAGATGGTTTTGTCACATTGAGAACACAAATAAAACACTGATTTTCCCAGAAAAAAAATCGACATTAAATTTTAAAATTGTCTTCACATCTACCAGAGGAGTCACACAAATATCAAATAGACATTAGTATACACACTTGCATGAACACACATATGCATGTGTTTGGGTAGCATGTATATATTCACATATATGTGTATGCTTGTGAACTAATATACCTTTCCCCATATACTTTATACACACATAATAAAATACTGCTCATTCTGTAGTAATTTTTTCACTCACTTCTACAACATTTTCAAATTTCTAGCCCTTCTTAACTGACTCTCATATACAAACCTCTTTGCTCAACTGTAAAAGAATTTTAAGACTCAGGTTAACCCATAAATCTCTTTTTATGTACTAGTCCATTTAATTCCGACACAGGGAGTCTGTGAACCATATAATGACAAAGAAAACAATCCTCAGTCTGTTTATTCTTCATCTGCAAAGCACAGCTTGAAGTTTTCTATCAGGGCTGTCTTGACATACCTGAGAAAATCCTTAGGTTACAGACATTAATAAATCAAATAACAACATGTTCCAACGAGGAGAGAATCTTTTGTTCATTTGTTCACCCATCCATCTCTTCAACTATCATGGATCATAAGTGTCCAACTATATGCTCTGTCTATATACTATATCTTCTGTTATACTTTTAGTAATTATTTTTGACATTATAATTATCATTTCCCCTTCCCTTTCCTCCTTCTCGACATCCTCAAGACTCTCCCCCGGCTCCCTTTCAAATCCATGTCCTTTTTTATTTTTGTTGTTACATACATATATGCTACGTACATGCATATGTATGTGTGTATATATGGCTTTGGTGATGAAGTGATCATGAGGGACTCACAGCCTCTGTGGAATTCCCAGCCACCTTTAGACAACTCTCAACCTTGGTAGTCAGAAGCAAGATCCTAGGAATCTGAGCTACATCTTCTGTTCAGCCTTGGATGGTTCTTTTTGCTAGAAAAAGTGACTTTGCAACTTTGGACTGAGAAACAAGAGGGTTAGCAGATAAAGAAAGAAACAGAAAGGGTTATTCAAGACCATGTAAAAATAAAACATTCAAAACATCAAGGGAGATGCTGATTGATCTTCAAAGTTCTAAGGAACAAGAAGGCATTGTGTTCTGTCACAATATTCAGAGGATTAGATTGCTGTCATTTGAATCTTGAATGTCCCTCAAGGCTCCTATACTCATGGCTTGAGTGGAATTATTAGAGGTTGGGACATAGTTAGCATATCCTTGAAGAAGATATTTAGTCTCCAACCCCTTTGTGTTTCTCTCCATTTCCTGGGTTTTGTGACACAGACAAGGCTTCTCTGGTCCTTGTTTACTTCCATGATGTCCTGTTCTCCCATATGTCCACACAGGGCTCTGTGATCAGGGACTGATACCCTACTTTATAAGTGGCTTAATAAAGAAATTTTGTTACAATACCAGAAAGGTGACTAACAGTGTTGGTCAGAGATAGAGAGGAAACAGGAGAATTTGCAACAGAAAGATGAGTTGAAATTTGATTGGTTCCCTCTACTGTGATGTCATCAACCGGTAAGAGGAGAACATGACTGGCATGTAGGCGATATGTGCTTCAATGAGTACTCACTCAACAGGCCCAGGGTTCTGCATTCCTACTCTTGCAGTTGTCTTCCCTCTACCAAGATACTTTTCCCAACCTGTTCCACTGAATGAAATGGACACTTTTACCTACATACGTACATACACACATGTACCACCACCACCACCAGCAACAACTTTTCATCTGGGTTCCAGTTCAGAACACCTTTAGATAAAACATCTTTCCCTTTCTATTTGGTTATTTATGCTTTTCATTCCCTTAAGTATGTGATATAAAGAGAAAGATTTACACATCAATTCATTTTGATTCTCTTTATTTCACCTTCTGCATAATGAGTGCCAAGCAGACAGTAGTAAAAGGCAGGGAAGTACAAGAGAGTGGCCTTTGCGAATGCATTACCCCATCCTTTCTAGGCATCCTTCCTAGGCATCCTTCCGAGAAGGAACTGGTTCTATATTTACTTATAATACTTTAGAACCTGTTTAGAACCACTCCACAGACATCTTCAATTCTAAAGCACGTCATGTTCATTATCTTTGGTTTGCCCTTTCTCCTTCTCTCCATTTCCCATTTCCCAATAAATGACAGTTCCATGGCTTTTTTTCTTATCATGAAACCCACACTATCCAGGGCACTAATGCATTCCCATCAACCCTCACTCCTCTTGTGGGAAACCCTCTGATGTAATCATTCTTCTCTCTAACTCATCACAGGCCAAGGATGTTGATCTTGGAGCAAATGTGTCATATCGGATCAGAAGCCCAGAAGTGAAGCACCTGTTTGCCCTTCATCCATTCACTGGAGAACTGTCCCTTTTGAGGAGTTTGGATTATGAGGCCTTTCCCGACCAGGAAGCAAGCATCACATTCTTGGTGGAGGCCTTTGATATCTATGGGACGATGCCACCTGGTATAGCGACAGTCACAGTAATTGTGAAGGTAAGGAACCAGGAATGACCATCCTCCTCTCTGTTTCTTCAACTCACAGTATAATTTTGGGAGAAAATGTCATAGGAAATCAGTGGTATAGACTAACAATAAGGATTTATAAATATGAAGTACTTATGAAGACTTGCAAAATAACCCTACAAGACGAATTTTAAAGAAGCGGCGTTATATCAATCTTTGAAGACTGGCTGTGAGTCTGCTCTATGTGGCGACTGGTCAGATCAGAACTTCATTTTGAGAGAGTTTGGACCACAGTCTATTGCAAGTGGATATAACATATTACAAACTTTTCAGGAGAGAGAGTGTGTAAGTGATGAAGTGTTCTTCTTCATGAAGCTTAGTTTGTAATGTCAAGACTCAGGTAAGTTTAATGTTTAAATCTGGATCAACCTCCAATTTCTCTGACAGTGGAGACTTAGCTTATCTCTCTGGTGGTTAAGAATTTGTCATGACTGCTAGGTATGGTGGTCAGCACCACTATGGTCCTAGCAAATAGAAGGCAAAGTGAAGGTCCCCACAAAAATAATACCAACCTGGTCTGTGTTGTGAGTTCCAGCGTGTGTACACACACTTCCATGGGCTTAAAGAAAAAGTCACAGCTGGGTAGTGGTGGTACATGCCTTTAATCCCAGCACTTGGGAGGCAGAGGCAGGCCTGGTCTACAGCACCAGTGCCAGGGCAGTTTCCAAAGCTACACAGAGAACCCTGTCTAGAAAAAAAAGGTCACAACGGGAAAGTACATAAAAAAACACTGAGTGACAGTGAGCAAAATGGATCAAGGACATCAAAACAGCACCTGAAACAGATGCCAAATGGCCTGATTTTCTTTCCTGAATGGGGTGGTAGGCCTGAGTCCTTCAGCATTCAAGAGGGAAATAGTCCAGTTGTTATGTGACAATGGAGGACACCTTGTCAATTGATGGTGTTCTCCTGTTCTTCCCAGATTGAAACATAGCTAATCAAACACCACAGTCTTCTCCCTCAGGAGTGCTGGTAGAGATGACCATAGATACCCATGAGTGGAGCTTACTGCGCTGGCTTTGGGGTAGACATGTGATCATGTAGAGGGGTCAGAAGAAGCCGAATTGGGACTAAATATGTCACATTGACAGAAACACCATCTGCCTTGATTACATTCATGGAAGAAGTCAGTAGAAACAAACTAGGTCCAAATACTACATTGAAAAGAAAAAGAGAATGAAAATAGGTATCTAATTAATCACCCGGTTCCCTATCTAGACTCAAGCCTCCTAGGTAATTCTTCTTTGTCCCAGGATACTCTTTATTGTAACACAAGATTCCAAGGCCTCACAGCAGCAGCTGAGGGATCCATTCACTGTGGTTCATTCCTCCCTCAGCATTTAGAGGATATTGGACTAATTCTGTGCCTTGGTACTTCGCTTTCTTCGAGAGGTCAAATACTCCAACAGATGAATCTGCCTGACCCACATCACTTCTTATTTATTATACACGTGAAACAAAACCTCTCCAATGTTTAATTGTATGCATGTTCTACATCATCTTTTAATTCTTTTGTAACTTGTATAGGCATAATAAAATTTCAGTCACTATTTCTTTTATTTTATTTAAGTTAGAAAAAAAGCTTGTTTCACATGTCAATCCCAGCTCCCTTTCCCTCCCCTCCTCCCCAACCCTCCCCACCAGGTTCTGCAGTCTCCCACCCAATCTCCACTATGATCTCTAGGGAGGATGAGGCTCTCTATTTCATCCAGGGCAGGGACTAGGACCTCCCACAAGAGTCCCGGCTGAGAGAGCATCCCATATTGTGGCATGGCACTCAAAGTCTATTTGTACATCAGGGATAAATACTACCCAAGGCCCCATAGATTACCTAGGCCTCCTCACTGACACTCACATTCAGGGGGTCTGGGTCAGTCCAATGCTTTCCACAGCTGGTAGAGTCCAAGAGCTCCCCCTTTTTCAGGTCGGCTGTTTCTGTGGGTTAAACCAGGCCACTCTTAACTCCTTTGGCCATCAGTTTTCCCTTTCTGACACTGGATTCCAGGAGTTCAGTTCAGTGTTTGTCTGTGGGTATCTGCCTCTGCTTTTATCCGTCACTGGATGACGGTTGTTTCCCAGACTCTCTGGCAGTGTGCTTGTAGGCTGGCACTCCCCTGATTCATGTCTAAAATCCATAAATGAGTGAGTATATACCATGTTTCTCTTTTTGTGACTGAGTTACCTCACTCAGTATGGTTTCTTCTAGTGCCATTCATTTGCCTGCAAATTTCAAGATTCCATTTTTTTTTCTGTTGAATAGTACTCCATTGTGTAAATGTACCACATTTTCTCTATCCACTCTTCAGTTGAAGAGCATCTAGTTTGCTTCCAGGTTCTGCCTATTACAAATAATGTTGCTATGAACATAGTAGAACAGACACCCTTGTTGTATGAATGTGCATCTTTTGGGTATATGCCTGAGTAGAATTGCTGGGTTTGGTGGTAAACTGATTCCCATTTTTAGGAATCTCCATACTGATTTCCAAAGTAGCTGTACAAGTCGGCACTCCCACCAGCAGTGGAGAAGTGTTCCCCTTTCTCTACATCCTCTCCAGCATAAACTGTCCTTGGAGTTTTTGATTTTAGTCATTCTGATAGCAGTGAGATAGTATCTCAGAGTTGTTTTGATTTGCATTTCCTGGATGGCTAGGGATGTTGAGCACTTTCTTATGTGTCTCTCAGCCATTTTAGACTCCTCTACTGAGAATTCTCTATTTAGTTCTGTACCCCACTTTTTTATTGGATCCTTTGGTGTTTTGGAGACTTGCTTCTTGAGTTCTTTGTAAATTTTGGAGATCAGCCCTCTGTCAGATGTGGGGTTAGTGAATATCTTTTCCCAATCTGTAGGTTATCTTTTTGTCTTGTTGATTGTGACGTTTGCCTTACAGAAGCTTCTCAGTTTCAGGTGGTTCCATTTATTAATTGTCTATCTTAGTGTTTGTGCTACTGGAGTTATGTTCAGGAAGCAGTCTCCTGTACCAATTCGTTCAAGGGTACCTCCCACTTTCTCTTCTAACAGGTTCAGTGTGGCTGGATTTATGTTGAGGTCTTTGATCCATTTGGATTTAAGTTTTGTGCATGGCAATAGACGTGGATCTATCTGCAGTCTTCTACATGTCAGTATCCAGTTATGCCAGCACCATTTGCTGAAGATGCTTTCTTTTTTCCATTGTATAATTTTAGCTTCTTTGTCAAAGATCAGGTCTTCATACTTGTATGGGTTAATGCCAGGGTGTTCAGTTTGATTCCATTGGTCTATCTGTCTATTCTTTGAGACAATACCAAGCTGTTTTCAGGATTATAGCTCTGTAATAGAGCTTGAAGTCAGGGATGGTGATGCCTCAAGATGTTGCCTTGTCGAACAGGGCTTTTTGGCACTCCTGGGTCTTTTGTTTTTCCATATAAAGTTGATTATTGTTCTTTTAAGGTCTGTGAAGAATTGTGCTGGGATTTTAATGGGGACTGTATTAAATCTGTATATTGTTTTCCGTAAGATTGCCATTTTTACTATGTTGATCCTACCTATCCAAGAGCATGGGAGATCTTTCCATTTTCTGGTGTCTTCTTTAATTTCTTTCTTTAAAGACTCAAAGTTCTTGTGATACAGGTCTTTCACTTGTTTGGTTAACGTTAACCCAAGGTATGTTATGTTGTTTGGGGCCATTGTAAAGGGCCATGTTTCTCTGATTTCTTGAGTTTATCTTGTATCCTGCCACTTTGCTGAAAGTATTTATCAGCTGCAGGAGTTCCCTGGTAGAGTTTTTTTTTGGGGGGGTCACTTATGTAAACTATCATATTATCTGAAAATAGTGAAAATTTGACCTCTTCCTTTCCAATTTGTATCCTCTTGATCTTCTTTTGTTGTCATATTGCTCTAGCTAGAACTTCAAGTACCATATTGAAGATGTATGGAGAGAGTGGACAGCCTTGTCTTGTTCCTGATCTTAGAGGAATCGCGTTGCATTTCTGTCCATTTATTTCGATGTTAGCTATTGGTTTGCTGTATATAGTTTTTATTATGTTAATGTATGTTCTTGTTATCCCAGATCTCTCCAAGACCTTTATCATGAAGGGGTGTTGGATTTTTTCAAAGGCTTTTCAGCATCCAGTGAGATGATCAAGTGATTTTTGTTTCTTTACTTGTTTATATGGTAGATTACATTGATGGATTTTCGTAAATTGAACCAACCCTGCATGCCTGGGATGAAGCCAACTTGATCATGGTGGATGAGTTTTCTGATGTGTTCTTGAATTCGATTTGACAGTATTTTATTGAGTATTTTTGCATCAATGTTCATGAGGATTATTGGTCTGAAGTTCTGTTTCTTAGTTGTATCTTTGTGTGGCTATTGAAGCCTTGTAGAAAGAGTTTGGCAAAAAAGAAAAGCCGGGCAGTGGTGGTGCACGCCTTTAATTCCAATACTCGGGAGGCAGAGGCAGGCGGATCTCTGTGAGTTCGAGGCTAAGCTGGACCAACAGCCTCCAAAACAATACAGAGAAACCCTGTCTCATAAAACCAAAAAAAAAAAAGAGTTTGGCAAAGACCCCTCTGCTTATATTGCATGCAATACTTTGAGAAGAATTGGTATAAGCTGTTCTTTGAATTTCTGGTAGAATTCTGCACTGAGGCCATCTGGCCCTGTGCTTTTTTGGTTGGGAGACTTTTAATGACTGCTTCTATTTCCATAGGGGTTATAGGTCTATTTAAATTGCATATCTATTCTTGATTTATCCAGAAAATTGTCCATTTCCCAGTCACTATTTCTAATGGCCTGTGGCTGTTTTTTTCTTTCTGGTAACTGTAGGTGAGATGTGACAATTGAAACTTTAAAAACTCTCACAGATAACACTGAAGCCAACAACTGGAGTCCAGGTCACCACCCTCCACAAATGCAACCTCCCCAAGCTTGTAAAGTTTCTTCTGTTTTCCTGCTTCTAGCAGCATGGAAAGCTGTTCTGCTGATAACATA